GGTTCTGGGACCCCCTGACCCTATAGGGACCCATGGGACCCCTGACCCTAAATAACCCCTGACCCTGTGGGAACATATGGGACCCCTGACCCTATGGGAACCCCTGGGATCCCTGATCCTATAGGAACCCATGGGACCCCTGACCCTAAATAACCCCTGACCCTATAGGACCCTGTGACCCTGTATAAGCCCCTGACCCTATAGGGACATATGGGACCCCTGACCCTAAATAACCCCTGACCCTATAGGACGCTGTGACCCCATGGGACTCCTTGATCCTATAGGACACCCTGACCCCATAGGCCCCTGTGACCCTGTATAAGCCCCTGACCCTAAATAACTTCCTGACCCTATGGGACCCCCTGATCCTATAGAGACCCATGGGACCCCTGACCCTATAGGAACATATGGGACCCCAGACCCTATAGGGACTTATGGGACCCCTGACCCTATAGGAACCCATGGGATCCCTGATCCTATAGGAACCCATGGGACCCCTGACCCTATAGGGACCCCCTGATCCTATAGGAACCCATGGGACCCCTGACCCTATAGGGACCCCCTGACCCCATAGGGACCCCTGGGACCCCTGACCCTATAGGAACCCATGGGACCCCAGACCCTATAGGGACTTATGGGACCCCTGACCCTATAGGGACCCATGGGACCCCTGACCCTATAGGGACTCCAGACCCTATAGGAACCCATGGGACCCCAGACCCTATAGGGACTTATGGGACCCCTGACCCTATAGGAACCCATGGGACCCCAGACCCTATAGGGACCCCCTGACCCTATAGGGACCCATGGGACCCCTGACCCTATAGGGACTTATGGGACCCCTGACCCTAAATAACCCCTGACCCTATAGGACCCTGTGACCCCGTGGGACCCCTGACCCTAAATAACCTCCTGACCCTATGGGACCCCCTGACCCTATTGGGACCCCTGACCCTATAGGACACTGGGACCCCATAGGACCCCATGGCATGATGGAAGCCCCTGATCCTATTGGGACCCCCTGACCCTAAATAACCCCCTGGCCCTATGGGATCCCTTGGTCCTCTAGGACCCCCAAACCCTACAGGGCCCTGTGACCCTGTGTAAGCCCCTGACCCTAAAAAACCTCTTGACCCTATGGGACCCCCTGATCCTATGGGATCCTTTGGTCCTATAGGGGCCCTGTGACCCCACAGGACCCCTTGACCCTAAATAACCCCCTGATCCCCGTTATCGATCCCCTTTATCAATCCTCGTTATCAATCCCTGCTCTCACTCCCATTCTTGATCCCGTTATCAATCCCCGTTATAAATCCCCAATATCACTCCCCGTTATCAATCCCAGATATCGATCCCATTATAAATNGTCACCGTCACCAAGTGAGGGACATCCTTGGGGACAGCAGGACATTGGGGTATTGGGGACATTGGGGACATCAGAGGTACAACCCAACACTGAGGGTGAGGGACATCCTTGGGGACAGCAGGACATTGGGGTATTGGGGACACAGCAGGGACATTGGGGACATCAGAGGTACAACCCGACACCATGGGGCCCATCTGGAACCTGAGAGGGGTCCTCAGCAACACCTGGCACAGGGTCAGCGTCACTGCCACCAAGTGAGGGACAGCAGGACATTGGGGACATCGGGGACACAGCAGGGACGTTGGGGACACCAGAGGTACGACATCCAACATTGGGGTATTGGGGCTTTGGGGACATTGGGGACACAGCAGGGACATTGGGGACACCAGGGACATCAGAGCTACAATGTCCAGCCCGACACCGTGGCGCCCATCTGGAACCTGAGAGGGGTCCTGAGCAACGCCTGGCACTGCGTGCCCATCACCGTCACCAAGTGAGGGACAGCAGGACATTGGGGCTTTGGGGACATTGGGGACATCAGAGGTACAACCCAACACTGAGGGTGAGGGACATCCTTGGGGACAGCAGGACATTGGGGTATTGGGGCTTTGGGGTCATTGGGGACACAGCAGGGACATTGGGGTCACTGGGGACACAGCAGGGACATTGGGGACATCTGGAACCTGAGAGGGGTCCTCAACAATGCCTGGTACTGCGTGCCCGTCACCGTCACCAAGTGAGGGACATCCTTGGAGACACCAGGACATTGGGGTATTGGGGCTTTGGGGACATTGGGGACACAGCAGGGACATTGGGGTCATTGGGGACATCTGGAACCTGAAAGGGGTCCTGAACAACGCCTGGCACCGCGTGCCCGTCACCGTCACCAAGTGAGGGACAGCAGGACATTGGGGTATTGGGGCTTTGGGGACATTGGGGACACAGCAGGGA